GAGATCGCAAAGGATCTTTAAATACACCTCGTAATAAGTTATGCTTTCAAATAATCAAATTGACTCTTTGCATTATTATGGCGTATGATGGGCAGCGCTGCGAATTTAGATTAACTATACCCACACCACACAATAACACGAATATTAAGAAAGAAAATTTGATAAAAATTAATTAATTAGAGCATATGGATCAAAAAGTGAGACTTTAAACCAAGGCTCTCTCTATAGGCGAAAATATTTACTTGATATGCGTTTTACAAGAATTAGTTATAAGTCTTTCGAATTATTTAATGGATTAAATTTTCGTACTATTCCACCCACAGAATTTTCAAACAATTATTGTGGGCAGGTAAAGATTTCAAGTTTTCTTTACAAATTTTTAGAAATTAATCATTCAGCTTATGATTTCCGCAAGAGAAAATCAGCTCGCTCCACTGGAAGTGACAATTAGAAGTCTAAGCGACTCCTGCTTTGTCGAAAATGACCGTAAAATTCTTAAACAAGCTGCAAAGGTGTTCTTCTACCCGTAGGGACTCTAGGAATTACACCTCTTCCTGTTTTATATTTACACCCAGAATGAAAATAGCGTAGAATTACTTCATGGTATTACAGTTTATGTAAGATTATTTCTTGTAGTTTAGAGAAGAATATATAGGTTCATATAAACAGTATGTATATGTATATGTGAGTGTTAGTGTGTTTAACATTAAAATCAACCTGTTACGATTCTTCTTTTCTATGAAGAATCATTAAAAATCTACGGCAATTATATACAAATATAAATATACAAATTAAAAATATGTCGTTGCACTCTTCTAGAAAGATGCAACTGTCTCGCGCCCCTTATCAAGGTGTATTCCACCTTGAGACTATCCACCTTGGCATACCGGAGCGCCAGTCATGGCCCGATACCAATCGTTCGATACCACTTTTTCATCGAAAACTAATAGTTTTCTTCTGTTTTTATAGCCTAAAGCCTGTCGTAGTCGCGAATTGCGTTGTGGCATTATGTATGCGACATGCGATTGTATTAAACGTAACGGTCTGCAAGATAAATGCCGACGTTCGCTGTGCCAAGGCCGTTCAGCTTGTATGTCTTTCCCAACATCTAATTGTTGCCCTAGTTCGTTTCCTCTACGGTATGCCAATATGACTATGGGTGTGATTAAGAAGAAAAATAAAAATAATCGTCGTGCAGGAGGATGCAATGGTAATCGTAATGGCAACTTGGCTTACTGTGGATTATCCAATCCGCAATGTGGAGCCCCAAAGCCAATACCATGCTCACCAACACCAAGATGTGCCCACCCTTAGCTGAAGGTGGCATACCAGATCCACGAGACAGTTGCATCTTTCTAGAAGAGTGCAACGACATATTTTTAATTTGTATATTTGTTTTTTTGTCAAAGATAAAAAAACTCGGAGAGCGACAACACTTATGAAAGATCGCCCACAACAACTGCGCGGATATGGACCACAAGGTGTACAAGGCACTTGAGGACTGCAAGGTGAGCAAGATCCACAGTGGTTATTCCAGGGCGTTGGAAAGCAGGGGTAACATGGTCCGCATTCGGGAGCCTCGTAAGGGCAACCCGGGAAGCATGGCCTACAAGGTCCACAAGGGCCACGGGGGCCACAAGGACCACATGGTCCACAAGGATCACAAGGCCCACAAGGCGTTGGTACATACGGGCCTGAAGTCATTCCGCAAGGCCCACAATAAGGTGCTAAACAGGGTCCACAAGGTCCACAAGGACCACAGGGGCCGCAAGGGCCACAAGGTCTGCAAGGCCCGCAAGGTCCGCATGGACCACAAGGGCCACAAGGTCCGCACGGATCACAAGGTCCGCATGGGCCGCAATGGGTATTGGCTTGTTGAAAAGCACGGCAGTGGCACACACGGTCCACAGGGCGAAGATGGACCCATCGGGCAAGGTGGGCAAGCGGCGCTTGGCTTATAATTTATCGGCCCAGTCAGATAGCAGCAATATCCTCTTGGCGGCGGTATATCGATAGTTTGGGGCTTCGGTTGACATAATATAGATTGACAAACTTCTCTAGGTTCACATATACGTTTAGGATAGCAAACTACGTATGGATCAGGTACCATAGATGGATAGTAGATAACTCTAGTTTCTCGTACCATTTGGGAGACCCAAGTCAATTTTGGTACTTTTATAACCCTCGCAGTATCAACAACTTTGGGTATTTTTATTTGACGGCAACGGTTAACGACCATTGGCTCAGGTACAACTTTTTCCGTAAACACTACACGTTTCTTGCATATTAATCTTGGCGGTTGCTGGACTGTTAAACATTTCGGGTTTGGAGGCGCAATTCGTGGCGCACATTGAGGTACAGCATCCAGTTGAGCGCCTGTGTAACATTTCGGCGAGCACTACACTCGCATTCGTATTCATATTGCATCAATTATGGCGATCGATTTCGAATTTTGGATGATAGATGACCGGAGTTTGGGTGGAATAGATCAGATTTTGCTTTTGCTAGCATTTCTTTCTCTAAATTTATTTGATGCTTACAGACTAAAATTTTTCTCATGGAAATTTTTAAAATTTCCACAATTTGATATCACTTACCTCAAAAGGTGCACAGCAAGGATCACACATTTTGAGACTTATTAATTTAGATTCTAGAGGAGCAGAAGAAAAAACGTTTACAATTCGTATTCATAGCCATGGAAAAAATTTTCGCCAAAACTAACCTTTTAAAACTTAAAAAAATTTCATTTTTTTTTTTAACTAAAAATTTAGCCGCAGCTTAAAGGCTCAGAAATTTAGACTGGAATGAATAAATATTGA